TTTCTCTTTTTAAATGTATCTATTTTGCCTCCACCACCCACCCCCCCCCCTCTTCCGGGCTAGCATAAGCCCTGTCTAGTGTATGAGTTTTGTGACATTCGCTTGTTTTTCAATCGGCATAGTGCTACTTTCGCTTTGGTTTCGTTGCCATCTCCTTCCACTAGATGTCAATCGATTGCTATGGACGTTGCTCCTGTTTCGCTCTTCTCTGCGTGCTCTGAACTGCGGTTTTTTCGCGCACATCCATCGATCAGGTAGGTGGTGATCTGGAATCACACTTCATCCTCGCCTCATGTTCAACGCTCATGCATTATTACTCGTGAGGTCAAGAATTCGCTTAATGTATGTGCGATTTCGAAATAGGGCGGCAAAATGGACGGAAATGCCGCGCGTCATTTCATTACGATTTATACTCAGAAATGCATGCGAAAGAGAATCTACTTGTGTTCTGTATGCAATAGGCCTATTGATCTTAATGTGTGTGTGTGTGTTCTAGCAATTTTATTGGATTGCTCTGCATCGGAGAACAACTCAAAGTTCTTGTCTTTCTGAGTCGCTGTCTAGTTTTCTTTATTCCTTTTTTTTCGCTGACCACATTTCAGCGGTCTTCTCAGTTTACATCTCTCACCCCCAATTGTTTCCGTTCTATGTGTGTCGCTTTCCACATAGTTCTCCTCGTCATTCCCCTTTTCCACATCTATCCTGGGCCTCATAGAGGCAGCGACAGTCTAATATGTGTCTTTACGTGCAAATGGGACGGCACAATAAAAATATAGCACCGGAATTGTGTTTATTCACTGAAAAAGGATGTCTTGACTCTTCCCCCCCACCCATCCGGTTATTACGATTATTTTTTCCATTAGACACAGTGAATAGGGACAGGCTCGTGTAGATTTTTCATGCACCACATTTCCCCGTCATGTCGTCATGATCAGCCTTGTCTTGCGACCCCTTTGTCCGCCGATGTGAGTTTCGGCTCATGATTTTCAATCATCCCGTAGGAGGTTAAGGCGGCCCACAGTGGAGGGAATAAATGACTGTGACCAGCATGACTAATGCAAACAAAGAGCACAATTATGTCGGGATCACACCCGTGTTGGCGAAATGCAAACGGATGATTTAACTAGACAAACCTTAGTGGATCATAAATGGATGAAGTTATATACAACTGGTCACGATCCAGAGAAGTCATTTGCAGTTGTCGAGCGGTTTTGGTCACCTTTGGCTGTTGTACTCCGTGTTTTCGAAATTCCGAGATTCGGACTCTGACATCCGGCTTAACATAATTTATCCCATTGCCCAAACCGACTCAAGTCATGCGGCCTAGATAGAGGATTTCGAACACTATTTCTTTGACTAGGAATCAGTGTGCCCTTAGACTCTAATTATCTACTTTTCATGAGCTTGCACTCTCGTTTAGACGGAATAGGTTACGACCGTTAACCGTAACTGAATTTCTCCGCATCTCTTTGCACTTCTCTCGGTCATTCCTCAGGCTATGGGTGAGCTAGGATTTGAGGTATTTATGCGCTGTATTCCGCGAACGTCTGGCAGGGCATGGAAGGTTGAGAAGACCCATCATTCTGCCTTGAACCGCGTGGCATTGTTGTTTTGATCGACATTTGGATAGTTTCCCGCGTTCTTCGAGTGCTCCGATGGTTTTGGAACCTGGAAAACCATGAGAAGGCTCCGCTGTAAAGGCCAGTTCGTATCTGTAGGCTCACGAGTTATTGACAGTGATCCGATAGAGGATGTAATGCAGGTGTAGCTCAGTGTGGTACCAATAGCAGACAACGTCTGCCCCCCAGCGGATACATTCCGGTAGGTACAGTGAAAACGTATCACAGCAATGTCTGTTTCCATGATTTGTGCAACACACTCATGCACGAATCAGGGCACGAAATAGAAGATAGTAATCTATCTGTGCTTTTTAGTACGCACGGTTATGTGATGAGCAGTAGGATCATACTCACGAAGATCTGCCATTCGGTGATGGTGTCCGGTGACTTAAGTCCGGAACTTGGAGTGGCGAATCACGTAAGGCCCTCGCCAGATTATGCGTGGTATTGAACTGCACGACAGGAAAACTGCCTACCACTGAAGT